ACGGCTCCTCCCCCTTTTGAAATAGCCAATAGCATTTAGTTTACCTTACAGACTGCAATTGGTACTTGACAGCACAATCGAAGCGAATCCGGAACGCTCATGATAAATTGTATTCAATAGTAGAGAGGTGTGAATAAATTCTAGCTATTTCAATCTTAACCAACGTACAGTTGGAAAACGGAATAAAACTCATCTCCAACCCATATTGCTCCGTGACATGCCAAAGGTCACATTGGCCAGGTATAGAGAGCCGAAGTGATGATTTCACTTTGTAGGACAGCTCGGAAGTTAGCGGCGCATGGGTTCCCTCGATTGAAAAGCTATGCATTTTCATCATAGACTTTTGGAAAATCGCAAAAAATAAGATCCGTGTTCAACAAAGAGTTGTGACCCTTACACGTTTTGTTTATCAAGATAATCTTTACAAGTTAATCCAGAATTTATACATTTTGAAGCCTATATAAAGTTTTTAATAAACTCAAGCAGACACAATAAAGTTTACAATAAAGTGTGTTGGTAACACTTTACAATAAGGTTCGTTAGTTAATATTAGTTAACTACATTAGTTAATATGAACTGATAATGAATAGCACATATACAGCATTTGTTAATCTTTGTTAATGTTATTTTCAACATTTACTAATACTTGATTAAAATCTTGCTAACATTAGTTAATGCACCGTGAAATAACATGAACAAATGATGAATAGCTGTATTTTCATGAACTAACATTAACAAAGATGAACAAATGCAGTAACAAATGTATTGCCCATGGTTAGTGCATGTTAGTAAATAGATTAACTAATGTTAACTAATGAACCTTATTGTAAAGTGTTATCAGTGTGTTTTATGTCATAGATCAAAACGTGAAAATATTTAGAGACTTTGTTAACCACAGACCTTATTTCAGGCGATTTAGCAAAAACCCATTCAGAAATCCCATAGGCTTTAGAGCGAGGGAACCGCGTTTTGGCCTACAAAGTGACGTCATAACTTTGGCACTCTATTTATAGCATGGGGGCGGGACGCTTTAGATTCTAGAGAGTATGTGATTGGACAGAAGATGTGATGAGAACCCAACGTCCGTGGTGATGTCATAAAAATCCGTGATCCATTTTAGCGGAAGTGACAGACTATAAGTTTTGAATGCTTATATCTCCTAAATGCGAATTTTCTCATTGTTTTAGAACACACCAGCTTATTCATATCCTTAAGGCTAACATATTCATACTAAATGGGTTCTTTATTAGTCATGATTATAATTTTTTGAGCAAAATATTTGTAATATATCAGTTTAAACATTACCTTGCAGCATAATGTGCTTAAATATAAAAGTAATCAAATTCTAAACACAATGCACACCTCTATGTTTCCACAGGCTGCGGTCAAAGCGGTGGTAGCTTCATCTCGACTGGGCAGCGCAGGAAGCCACGGCAACCCAGACGGCAACAAAACCAACAGCAGCCCCTCCTCTGTCAAAGAGAAGACAGCAGAGGATCAGCCAGACACTGAACAGCCTCAGATTCAGAACCAAGACTCTTAAATCTCCTCAGAGTCTCACTGGAACTCAAACTTCTTCCCTTCATGAAAGGAACATGTTGCTTTTTGCAGTGGGCCTCTTAAAGGACAGAAACAACTGGCTTTAGTTTGGTTCTTCTGCATGCGGACTGTTTGTCTATAGAAACGTCCCACATTGTGACTCAGCCAGTTGCCATATCACGGCAACATTTGATAAGTCCGTAAATTCGGATTTTGTACAGTGAATGAGCATCATTGGATGGTAATGAGAAGAACCAAATCTACTTTATATCAGTAAATATTTGTCATCGTGCTTTTGCTGAGATAATTGCCAAATTATCATAGTACTTTCAAGGGCATATGTTGCTTTTTAGTTGTATTGATCACATTTGTGCTGCATTAAATTGAAATCATTTTATTTGTTGAGGTTGTTTTTTACATAATCTTGGTCAGTGGTAGAAAGATGCAGATATTGAACTGAACCTTTACATACTGTAAGCTTCAACTGAATGCCTTATAACATGTTTTTATATGTCCTAAGTTATTTAATATTTTAGAAATACTACTAAACGGTTTATTTTAAACTTATAAAACAAGTATATTGTGCTTTGTTTAAATAGAGAGATGGTGATTTTTTTTTTCTTTACTTGCATATATCCTGTCTCAACAGATTTAGACACAAACATTGCAATGAAAAACACTCCCTTGTGCCAAAATGGTCTTTATTTGAAGTACACTTTCACCATCTCATTTAAAGCCCTGCTTATTTAGGAATGTCCCTTTAAAATAAATCAAAACTGTCAGGTTTATATTGAAATGACTTACTGGCAATAGACTTCCTCAGAATCCAGTGCTTTACCAAGGAATCTGTGTTTGGTTTTAAAACGCACAGAAGAGCATGGAGGAGTTTTGATCCTATTCAATATTCTTTAACGCATGCTTGTAATGTACAGTACGAGGGAATGCTGTTTCATAATCTGATTATCACATGTAAGTAAGGAATGTAATGTGGATATGCAGGGGTTCATGTTTTGCATGTAGGAATGTTTATCTTAACTGCTGCAATTGTCTTTTTAAATGCACTGTATTTTACAGATAAAACTCGCCGTCTAATTAACAGAATGATATTGGAGGCCATTTGACGGTCACTTTGTACAAGACACTAGTGTGTCAACTTTGGTTATCTGCCTGTTTCTATGTCTAAGGACTCAAAAATGCCAATAAGATAGCACTGTATATTACTTGCAGAAATAAAGAATACAAAATAATCTAGTTCTGAATGATTCATGTACAGTATGTATAGCTTGTTGATCTAATTCTTTATACCCAGGGTTATTTCTCCAGTGGATCAGTGTTTGGGGGTACTAGTAACGTGAGTAACATGATCAGATTACTTTTTTCAAAGTAACTAGTAAAGTAATATGCAGTACTTTTAAATTTACAATAAAATATCTGAGTTACTTTTTCACTTTTTCCATTTATTGACTGAGACCTCTCCTGTCCCCATGTTGAGAGAAATCAGGAGTAAGTGCAGGTGCGTTGTGTGCACTATGGGTACATGATGGTTATTGTATAGACCATTTCACAAGATGTAAACAACACTGGTCCAGAAGCACTTCCTGTTTCAGTTTTTTAACACTACATAAAAGCTGGGATAAAATACAACCAACAGAACATTTAAAACTGAATCAAAAAGTTAAACAAACATCTTTAAGATGTTTTCTTTACATGTGAAATAAAGAAAACAGTTACAAACTGAAACAGGAAGTGCTTCTGGACCAGTGTTGTTTACATCTTGTGAAATGGTCTATAGTTCGAGACTAAATGTGAGCATGCATTTACTCATTTTACTTGCAAATGAATAAAAACTGCAAACTTAGAATATTACTCAAACCTGCAACAATTTAATGTTAAATAATAAAAATATACTTTGTGTATTTAATCTCTCTTTATGAACCAATGTCTTTGCTGGTGACCTTTGATGATCCTATTCAAAAGTGACTTATACTGTACATATACACATAAACATCACATTTGTGTTTCATTGGCTACATATGAAATCGCATACTTCCCTGCTATAGGCTATAGTAGGTGAAAAAACAGTGTATGTGACAAAAGTAGTATGTCCAAATTCACAGTAGGCCTATACTAGTACGCAAAAAGTAACCTTATGAAGTAGGCTATGGACACTTTACTATCCCATGAGGCCACGGGGGAGGATTTATGAATGGTTGTGAAATTACACTGGTCAGTGGTCACATGATAATAACAACATGATGAATCTATAGTCCAGATTACATTTACACTACACACATTCATACTATATAGACAGAATATTTTTAGAGGTCGTGGAGTGATTACTTGTTCAAAATAAAGAGTATACGATTTCGGACGGAGCCTTTTTTTATGCATAAAAGGTTTGAACCTTCGAAACTTTCTCAATATAACGAGAAACTAAGTCATAATAAAGAGAAAGTTTCTCATTATTATGACTTGCAGAATTATTTTTTTTACTCAACTGTGGCGGAAACGGGCTTCCATAGAAACGGGCTTCCAGTAGGCTATGCATAACATTCTATTTATTTATTTATTTATTTTAGAAGATTGTGAAGATTTAGTTAACGATTATTTAAACACTATTAATAGAAAATATTTTTCATTCATTTATTAGGCCTATTGTTTCATGAAATTTATTAACTATTAGGCCTAACTATTAATAGTTTCAATCTACAGTGGCCACACAAATCAAAGCACATAAGCAGCACATATAAATGTCTGTAAACGATACTACACCTTTTCTATGACTACTTTTTAGGCACAATAACCCATGCAGCTTGTAATGTAATCCTTTTATCGTCTTATTTTTCCTTTGTGTAGGCCTATATATTTGCAGAGTACTAATACTTGCACAGCATATTTAGTCTTTCTACCAAAGGCCATTCATATAGTGTAATGTAAAAGTTCATTCTACAGGCCCCAAAAATTGAAGCAAAATGTAAAAAATAAATAAATAAAAATAACCTTTTTTTCAGATTTTTTTTGTAATGACTTTTAATCAGCTGTTGATTCGTTTTTTTATTTAGTTCTCATCAACTTCATACAGTCAAAGTTTACTTTTTTTAACAGTAAATCTATTTTCCATAATTGTTGAGAAATACGGTCTGAATAACTAACACTTGTTTTTATACATGTTTTTATCTAGTACGATTAAATTCACATGTTTATGAAATAATAAGTGCTTTTGTGTCCACCGTATTTCTGCTTTTTGAAAAAAAAAAAAAAATCTAATATATATATATATATATATATATATATACTGTACATACATACATACATATACATACAGTAGAGGGCGTTAGTCAACACTAACAGAAACCCATTCAACAGCTCCACGAGTTTACCGCCCTTCAAACACCACAGAAGAAGAAGCAGATGAGTCCTGCGCCCCCTGCTGGCAGACCTCGCCCGCACCCGGTCCATCTCTCACACACACATTCGCTTGATGACAGACGGGGAGGGGGAAGCGGAGAGAAGTAAGCCCCGGATCCATCTTCAAGAGAGAAAATAGGAAAGAAAGACCGCGTCCCACTTTTATTTCGTTTTTAGCGGCACCTTTCCGACTCATAGACGTTAGGGAGCCCGAGGAGGGGCTGTGTCACTGTCTGTAGGATGTCCCGACATGAAGGTAGGTGCGAAAAAACCGCCGATCGCTGCGTCGTTGGCTTGAATTGTAGGCCAGTGCTGACCCGCGGGTTGCCATGTTTTCAATTCAAATGCACTGGGAAAGACTCATCATGGCGGCCGCCGTGAATTTTGCAACCTTTTATGTACCTACACCGCATCGTTAGCGCCAAGGGCGTTTTCCTGAACCCGCTTGGTGTGAAATTGAGCTGGGCCTGTTTGCTAGGCCGGGCCTGCTGCGGCTCCCTCAGCCGCCGGAGTGAGTGCGAGTGTGTTCCCGCAGGTAGTCCGTGGAGAGGTCAGGGCTTCGGTTGGGCCTGTTTTAAGAAACTTAATTTTAAAGCTTTCTGCTGTAAATTACCCAGCACTGCTAGAATGACGACCGAAGGCCAGTACTCAACTGGGTAAGCGGTTGTAGAGCTCAGTCAGACCGCCCTGGAGCTCATGTTAGGGAGTATGTCTGTGTGAGAGAGCCGTCTTGAGTCATGTCATGTTTCAGGCCAGCACAAGTGAATGACTTGCACGTCTGGTTTTAGCATTAGCTGGTGTCAGTGAAGCCATAGCTGTGATTGCTTACGATTATTACTCTTATTATTTCTGGAAACACGTTTATATTTCTAGTTCCCTTTGTGTAGACATTCAGTATTTAGTCAAAACAGTATGTTTTGGATACAAGGAAGAGATTCAGCATTAAAGTTATGGCTTGATTGTGTGGCTTCAGACACATTTGTCCTGCTATGAGTTGACATAGCCTTAATGAGTACTGTCAGTGCATGCAAATGACGTTACATTGAAATATTGGTTTGGGTCTGACATAATTTATGCTATAAGCATAGGTCATTGCCACTGTATTAGCTTACTCTTTTGAATATGGTGGTACCATGGTGATACCATATTTTGGGACATTCTACAGTACAATGGTGTATGTTTTTCAAACAAACTTGCCATGTTTTGTGTGGTTCTCTTTTTATTTGTAGGCTACTTGTATTAAATCTGGGTATGGTATTACTAAAATACATATACTATATGTTACTTAAAAGAATACTTATTACTTATCTTATTGTTTTTTTTTTTTGGTGAATCGAACTGAAATCTTAGTAACTCAGTGTGAGTTATTTGAAGTATAATTCTGTTCAGACATTTGTTAAGTGCTTTCTATTTATGTCTGTCTCAAACCTAGTGAGCTGCCTATCTAGATAACATGTTTGTGGATCATCAAACATGCCTTTGATTCTCAAATATGCTGTCTTTGGTTTGGTGGAAGCTCACTAGATTTCAAGACAGCGGATGTCACCTGCCTGTGAATGAAGACTGCTTACACATGCGTCTAGTTTCTCTGCAAACAGCACATGGTGCTTGAGAGAAGCTTCCAATGGGTGAACACTAGTGATAACTGACACTGCACATAATTATTATATCCGGATTGGTTATAGTTTGGCAGCTGCTCTTTGATTTAAGCACAGTGGCAGATTCGCTCTGACGTTCGAACAGAGGATTTAAATTCTGTAATTAATGCTCAAGGTTTATTAAATACAATACAGTATTCATTTCAGATATGACTGCACAAGTCTAAACTTTTAGGAGTCCCCTCGGGTTATTAACACATCTGTTGCCAAGACATTTAGGCGTTATTTTATAGGGGTGTCACGATTTCGATATTAAATCGAAATCGATCGAAATTAATTCAATGGTATCGAAATCGAAATAAAAAATGGTATCGTCGATACTGCCACGCCCCATGTCGCGTCCTTGATGGGAAAGTTCGGATCGTTTTACTGACTCTATTGTTTAATCTTGTTCATCAAAAATTAACTAAACTTTTTTTTCTAGTCATTTCAGGGGCTTTAAATGTTATAGTAACATGAAAATTCCCCGAACATTAAGAAGATGTAGGCTACATATTGAATGCAGTGAAAAATAATTTACAGAGAACATAATTACTTTACCTTCCGAGTCTTTTGTTCATTTGTCGCGTGGCAGAGGCAATGAACAGATCGTTTATGATGAATGACTCATTCATGATGAACGACTCATCACAGTGCGGAAAACAAAACACCTGTTGAAAGGCTGCGAGTACTCTAACTGACACATCATGACACATCAACTCATGCAATTACAAGCGCTTTAGGAGTATTCATCGCTGCAGATATGCGACCTTATTCGGTGGTGGAAAACTCCGGATTTAGGGCAACATATCGCGTCTTTTGCGCGCTCAAGTTCGTTATTTCAAATGTAGGCGCACGGTATGTGCGCTCATAATGGAAGCGGTGCGGCGCGCTCGTTTTTTCCATGCGCGTCCGCGCCGCGTCGAGATAAAAACATCTCAACTTTTCAGAATACCCCAAGCACACCATACGCACACAATAGGTCATGTGACAAGAACCAACTGAAGCGCAACCGCCCTGGCGCTTTGCAAAATGGAGAATGCAGCGCGCCCAGCGTTTTCTACGCGTTTTTAGGCGCTATATGTGAATCCCCGGCCTTAGGCATTTAATTAGCGTGCTAGAACCGCGCTACGAAATCCCAAGTAGAACGCATTTCACAACTATGGTGATACTCTCATTGTACAACAATGTAAAGGAGAAAGTTATTGAAGGTCTGAGAAGTGCACATTTAGTGGCCTTGACTACAGATTGCTGGACCTCCAGAGCTTCATGACTGTCACAGCACATTATACTGGGAAATTCAAAATCCAGTCCTTCAAACTCGCCTCATATATGAAACTGAAATATGAAATTATAAAATAATGAAAAATACAGTCATCATTCTCAGGGGATAAAAAGTAGTTATTTGTGTGGTAGCCTATATGTTTTTTTTTTTATAACAGAATATAACTGTTCGGAAATAGTTTAAGATGCTTAATTATTCAGAGAAGACTAGTGTGGAGTCTATGGACATTGCTGTTTTATTGCTTTTGTTTTGTTGTGATTGTGAACATAAAGGTCATCTTCTGAGAAGACTGCAGTTACAAAAGCAAAGTAACCTGCCATTTAGTTTCTCTTAAGTTTCCAATTGACTTAATAAAGTCATTGTTACATTTATGATGTTACTTGTTTTTGTTATATTTTAAATTTGGCAATGGTGTGGTGTACATTGTGAACAAATTTATATTGCATAATGCATACATTTGTAGTCTAAAAATTGCATAGCAATCTGCGCTTTACTTTTTTTTTTTAAATCGAGAATCGAATCGAATCGTGACCTTAGAATCGATAACTTAATCAAATCGAGGATTTGGAGAATCGTGACACCCCTATTATTTTATGAAGATGTCATTTTTCTTTCTTCTTTTTTTTTTAAATGTAGGCAAGTTTTAGGATCAATTTCGTTTCAACAGATGTCATCATTTTTCTTTCTTTCTCTTAAAATGTAGTTTTTGGATCAATTTAGTTTCAAAATGGAGTGTTAAGTTGTTTCCATATTTCACATCACCTAAATGATCTTTGATCCACATAAACAAATTGAAACAAAGCCCATCTGTAAAAAGCAGAAATATAGCCTAACTATTAGTTTTAGTCTTTCGCATATAGGTCTTTGGAACAATAATAATAATAAAAAAAACAACAAAATTGTGTCAAAACAGGAACTTATTCTGATTTTCTATGACCGAGTTCAGGGGTTTCGAAAATTAGGAATGCCTGATGGCCCGGGTCAACAAGAAAGACACGTTGAAAATTAAGAATTAAGCGGATGAGTTTATGCTTGAATGGACAAAGACACAATTTGAGAAGGAAATCGTATATGTATCATCATATTGGATCCTCGTGTACGCTCTTAAAGTGACAGCAGCCTAATATACCTGCTCCTGTCTCTGTCATTAATTTGCATTAAACAACAAAAGACATCACACACTGCTCTTTAGTTGACTCTTTACACACACTGCAAACAAGTATTGCGATATTTTACTGATATGTAAACTTTTGGTGTCATAATAAGCTTATTTATTAGACAAGTTTTTTTCTGAACACAATGACCAATCAGAGGTGTTCAAGTTAGTCAGAATCCGCTCATTAATACGGCAGAGTTTAGCAGAGCTAAAGTACGGCAGAGCACAAATTATAAATACGATGACGAGAATCATATCACAGCGTAGACCACTTATAACAGGACTTTTCACAAGAGCGCATCTTTGTGTATATTGCATTTGTTTTAGATGCCATCTGGGGGTATATTTGGCCTTGATAGTACATTGTTACTTTTACAATGGCAGCAACAGCAATGTGATAAGACACAGATTTATTATGTTCATATTTTACACAAAATAATAAACTACAGGATTTCCAGGAGACGTGTGTCGCATTCTTTATCTGTCCGCCTGGAAACAAAGCCATCATGAAGCAAAACTCCCTCATGAAAGAAGAAAGCCGTCGTGTTTACAACTGTGACAATGAACGCTTATCAGGATGAACCGAACGCTGGATTTTTTTACATTTTCACGCCCCTAAACATGACGCAGTACAAAACAAACGGCTAGGTTGCTTTGCATGTCAGTCAGACTTTGGCCAGTGAAGCTGCAATGGAGTCCAGACCTTCTGCCGTCTGTCTAGTGAGACTAAAACATGTGAGACTAGTGTAACATGTCTATGGAAACCTCGACACCACTTACATTTGTATGTTTGTCAGATGCTTTTTTTCCCAAAGCTTTATATCCCTGATCTTTTATCGATTCTTGCATTCTCTGGGAATTGAACCTCGGCAACTCTGTGCTCTACAGGAACACTGGCAGCTTTAGAAATGTAGCAACGTGGGACAGTAATGCAGAATTGAATTTGATCAGAAAGAATTTTAAGTTGGAGCTGTCAATTTTAATGATGAGTTTTGATCATTGAATGATTGATCTCACAGAAAGCAAACTTTGGATGTGTGGTATGGGAGCCTGGAGATAGTAGCAGATGAATCAAGAGGGTTGTCCGGTCGGTGCAGTGCAAAGTAAATGATAAACTAGTTTGGATTCATTACCGTGTCCCCATGCTCATCATAGTGCTTCTTGGTAATGACACCAGT